CCATTTTTTGGTATCATACTTAATTTCTTTTTTTAGTTTTTCATAGTTTTCCTTGTAGAGATCTTGGATTAGATATTTGTATGTGTGTGTCATGGCTATTGACATGGGGTTGTTTTCTTGGTTTTGCCTTAGTCCTTTCATTATTGGTAATTAAAAAGCTATGTATTTTTATATTTTTATTATGTATCCTTCCATTTTTTTTGAGTGGTTTTTGCTATAGGGCACATATGCTCACCAGAAAGACAGAGAGAGATAGAGAGACAGAAAGTGAGAAATCACTACCACCCCAGGGAGGGTGGCCATGCCATATTCCCTTCTCCTCCATTCTCCTCTTGGGATCCTGGGAATGCATGCACATGTGCCTGGCATGAGTTTAAGTCACCAGTTCTGGGACTTGAGCCTTTGTCAACTACATGGAAGTCCAGCAACATAGCTATTATGTTGCCTGCTGGTCCCTGTATTCTTCAATTTTATTGAAGTTATCATTTTAGGAGATTTTTCATAGATTCTTCTGTATTTTCTTTGTATATAATAATGTTGTCTGCAAGTAAGGACAATTTCACTTCTTTCTTTCCTATTTGAATGCTTTTTATTTCACTCTTCTGTCTGATTGCATTAGCTAGGATTTCCAGTACTATGTTGAAAAGGAGTAGAGAAAGTGGACAATCTTATCTTGTTCCAATTTTTAGGGGGAAAAATTTCAGCTTTTCCCCACTCAGTATGATGTTAGCTATGGTCTTGTCATATGTGGTTTTTATTAGGATGAAAAAGACACATAGACAAATAGAGCAGAAAAGAGAATCCAGAAATAAACCCCAAACATAGAGCCAACTGATTTCTTTTTTTTTCTTTTTTTTTAAATTTATTCATTTTCTACATCAATTCACTATACACCATCACAACACACAAATGAATTTTCCATCCAAAATACCCTGTGCATTGGCTTAATCAAGCACATCAACATACATGTTCTCAGCAAATAATTTTTTCCAATTCTTATGTCCTGTATACCTTGCCTTTTGTTTTGCCATCCTTGATTCCCCATCCCCCACCCTCTGCTATGTTCCATCCTCCTCCCCCATTGTCCCTGGCATCCATGGTTGCCCTCCCTGCCTTCCCCCCCCCCCTTCCAATTTTCCTCCAAT